TATATATATACACATACAAATAATTTGATTTATAATTTAGATTTTAAAAATGCAACATCTTTTTACTTCTTTTGATTCTGGGGTGATTGTTTTTCACTCTTATTTCTCTCTCTTTCAGCGCTAATCATTGCTAAAGGTGTAAAAGATGCTCACGGAGGCAAAGTCAATCCCCCCGTCTTTGACATGACCACATACCTCAGGAAGATGAACATGTGAACAAGCCCCGCCCCCTGCCCTACTGACTCCGCCCACTTCACCTGTCGACCTGATCTCCATTCATAAAGCCAGAAGAACCGCTCCACGATCAACCAAACATGTGCTTGAGAAGCCTCTCATCTTCATCATCTTCATCATCCTCATCTCGGTTTAAACATTCCAGGAGTCTGAGATCTCGGTTTCTTCTCCGGTCAGGCAGTGGAACGCAAACTCCTGTTAATATCAAACTCATTTATTGGTTTTATCACTAATTAATTGATTGATTTACGGTACTATAGTATTTTCTGTGTTTTGGACGGGCGGAGCGTCCAGTCAAACGGTTTTAGCATTTGTTTGTATGATTGTCTGTGTGAAATCCTGCTGAACAAAACCGAGAAATCTGACTATAAGATGCCAAATAAAGAGAGAATGAGTTTGTACGGAGCAGCTCCTGTCTGTGCCTTCATGGAGGCGTGATGTGCTTTTAGAACAAAACTTCACAATATCATTACTGTGCTTTACAGCTGGAATTATGAAAAACTGACTGACAGTGAGTGACTGAGTTCAGTTTCAATTTCTCTTAGATGGTTCACTTGATTTTTGTCAAAAAGAACACTTCAGAGTTATTTTAGTATTATTTATATATTTAAAAAAATATATTTTAGCAATAATATTTTGTTATGTGTTAAAAATATGACTATTTTGGTTTAACTTATTTTTATTTAAATTTAGTTTTAGTCTTTTTTAGTTCATTTCCTATTGTAGTTTTTATTAATATTTTAAATTAGGTTTAATTTTATATATTTTTATTTTCATTTTTGGTAGTTTTGGTCATTTTTAAATTACAATTTAGGTTTAAAAATTATTTAATTTTTAAACATTTCATTAATCTGCCAAGGGTGCGTTTCTAATTTTGTAAAAAGGTTTTTCATCTAATATTTATAGTTTACATTATTTAAGCTTCATATTAAATAGACATTTTTAATAGATTTATTTTTTAGTTAAGGTTGACAACCCCGTTTTAAACACACACACACACCATCTTAATCACTCAAGAGCTCATTAGAATATTCAGCGGCTGATGCGTATCAGCCAATCATAGGCTGTCTTACTCTTTCTCTTCAAGTAAAGGTTTTGCATTCTCAGCACACTTGAGTGAACGAGACACACCTTCTTCAGGACACTTTCAAGACCTGTTTGAACTCAGAGATTCGTGAAGCACCAGCGGAAAGCTTGCTGATCGTCGATTCGGACCCGTTACAGTTGAAGTAAGAATGTGTGCATGCGGTTTCACCAGTTTCCATTAACACCGGCTTTAATTCTCAGCAGGACGGTTTATAACAGAAATTATTATGTGAGCTTTCCATTGCTCTCGAAACAGAAGTGAAACTGATGATTTGAAAACAGGTCAAGTTTATTGATAAAAACGCACAACCTAACGAAACCTGACCGATGCAATCCAACAAACACTCGCATTCATTTAGTAGATGCTTTTATTTATTCCTTCAGCAGATGCTTTTATCCACGCGTCTCACTGTAAAGAGGCAGTAATGTGAGACACATACACACTGCTGTGAAGGAATAGTGCTGTAAGAGAGGAAACAGGAAGTTCTGTATGTGACACACACAGACATGAGATCTGTGACAGAGATCACACACACACACACACTGTGCAGTGCCGTCTTGTGGCAGAGATGTGTCATAGCAGCTCAGTCTGTTCTGAATGTCGTTTGATGATAGATTTGAGTATTTCATTCAAATAATCTGCTCAACCTCTTACTGTGACTGCTTTGCATGAGCTGCGTTGAGTTTGTGCAGAATTACCAGCAGATCGTGCATTTAAACATGGTTAAAGACGTTTATGCTGTCTTGTTCTCTCAGCTAACAGGAAACGTTCTCGGAACGTTCTAGTAAAGGTTATGAACAAACGTTCCTCCTGTAACATTAATAGATAGGTGTTCATATAAAGTTATCTGGTCTTTAATAAACGTTAATGCACAAACGTTATCGGTATAATTGTTAAGGGATCATTTTTCTAACGTTCATCTAAACGCGTCTAAATGTTGCTACTTGTTTCAGAGAACATTCAAAAGTAACGTTTCCACAATGTTTGCAGAAAAATGTTCTTAACATTTGCATAACCAAGAAAACACATTTTAAGACATTCAGCTGAACATTTTTAACAATCAGAGAGCATTAAAGCAATAAGCCCCAAGAAGCCGTGGTTTACAGTGAATTTTTCTTAACATTTGCATAACCAAGAAAACACATTTTAAGACATTCGGCTGAACATTTTTAACAATCAGAGAGCATTAAAGCAATAACCCCCAAGAAGCCGTGGTTTACAGTGAATTTATAACAGCTAAGGGGTGTGCCTAAAACCCCCTTAGCTGTTATAAATTCACTGTAAACCACGGCTTCACGGGGCTTATTGCTTTTATAAAACGGTTATTCCATATACGTAGTAAGGTTTCACAAAATAAAACAGAGCAAATAAAGTGTAATGATATTAATAAAAACAGTATTCTTCCACCAAACAATGTAGCTCCTCAGAAACAGTTGTGGTTGCAACAAAGTGGTTGCCGAGCAACACACAAACGTAAATAAAGGTGTATGTTACTTTGTTGAGTAATTTACAACAGCTTCGAACGTGGCTCAGCCAATCAGAATCAAGCACCGCAACTCTCCGTTTTATAAGCAGAATTAATGTTTTCGTAATTTAATGGGAACGTTAGTGAAACGTTCTTAAAACATAATTTGTTAGCTGGGAGAAAGATCAATGCATCGGAACGTTTTAGAATGCAGAAATGTGTCGCAGAATGTTTTAACGCTTCACAAATAAAAGACACGGACAAATGTACTGTACACAGCAGTCGACACTGTTTTTGGCAAAAATGGACCTCCATACACTGAGTGAATCTGTGGCTGTCAGGCTGCTCTGAGACAACACAAGTGTCTGTCATGATAGTGAAACTAATTTTAGCCTGGTGTTAAAGGGTAGAGAGGGAGAAACACAGGGAAAGAGCGGCGTGTGATCATCATAGGTGCCCTTTAGGTCCGAACCCAAACTCACTCTCACATTTCCCTCTTTAATTCAACCCTGACCTTTCATTCAGGTCCGGAGCTCGACGAGGGACGGTCTGAGTGTTTCCAAACCTCTGCTGAGAGGAAAAGATGTCCATGAAGATTTAGGGCTTGTCCTGAACGACGTCAGGCATCAGTGAGGCAACACATCATTTAGGACGGAGCCGCAGATACTAGTGCAAAATATCAATCAGATTGACAGCACTGGGAATTTATGTAAAAAATATTTTAAAGGGGTCATATGATGCTGCTAAAAAGAACATTATTTTGTGTATTTGGTGTAATGAAATGGGTTT